AAAAAAAGCCAAAAAAACATCCCCAAAAATTTTAAAATTTCATATTAAAATAAGTCAATGTTTCAGCATCATCTTGTTTCAGCATCATCCCTGACAATAAATATCTAGTTCTAAGTCAAAAGAGGAGCACAGATCTATTTTATATAGTTAATACTGAGGTTTGCACATGTACCTGTTTAGTTGGATTATCAAGTGCATTGTGTAAGCACTAGAGTGCAATGGCAGTAAAATATCACATTGGCTTGCTAAACTTTCTTCAATCATTAACACTAATGACCATGCTAATTTTGTATACATTGCATGTGATATGTAATTGATAATTTTATAATTTGAATTAATGTTAAACGTTATATTTATAATATTAACTTTATTTTAAAGAGTCATGATGGATGATTATTCTTTTATATATCACGCTGTGAGCATACAAATAATAATTAGTATAGTTAACCAAACAATAATAGAGAAAAAATTTTAAATAGTTAAGTAACAACCAAAATTCTAGAATCTAAATTGGAAATATCTGAAGTAAACTGAATTACTGTAACAAAAGTTAATAAAAATTGGAAACCTGATGTGAATCAAGTTACTATGACTGAATATATATAATTTTTATATATTTTTCATTAAATATAAGAGCAAATCTATTTGTCACCGGTGGTGACAATACTGGAGTGTGATCGACCAATTAAATCACAGGATCATATGTAGCATAAAAAATGTAAAAACTTTGATTTTTTTTAAAAAATCACCGTTATCTTGAAATTTCATCTATGAAACCACATTTTGTATTCTAACAAAAAAAATTCCTTGTAAAATTTTACTATATGCTATGACCTACCCAAATCATAACTATGACTCTAACCCCAACCTCAATGATAGTAAGTTTTGACATATTGTTTTTGTTTTGATTATACCATATTTGTTGATCACACTCTGGTACTGTCACCGCCAGTGACAAACACATTATTTCTAAATATAAAATCTATTCTAAACAATCGATTTTTTAGACATAACACAAATTTTCTTGAATCATTTCTTGAAACAGTCAAACATGATTATGAAAACTGTAGTCCACAATTTCAGGCTGCTCTTGAAAAGTTCACTGAATGGTATAATGCAGCAAAAGCAAAATCTGTTCTGGCATTAACTTTATTTCTTTATAATATAGACCAGGATGTTGATCCATTAGAACGTATATTGAGTGGTGCAAAAATTCAAACACAAGTTGAGTCAGTAAAGCGTAGGAAAAAGGCTGTTTGTGATAAGGAAAATATCAACTATCATGTTATACCAGCACATAAAAAGCGAACCGTTCGTAAAAAAGCATAGTCTTGTTCAAAATGTGAATAATAATCAGTTGAATTAATTGACTTTAGAGTAGTATATTTATATATAATTATACACATTCATGGTCGCAAGGTAGTATATTGATATATAAATATATTTACAATAACACTTGCCTTAATACAGTTTAAAAACAACTTCACATTTGGTATACAGGAACGTGTTCAAATTAAATGCAAAAATAAATTAGAAAAATATACTTAGATTAACTGCTTGTGCAGTTAATCTAAGTTAAGTAAATTTCTGCTTGTACTATATTCAATTGTTCAGGGTATAAGTGATTTATCCCATTCACTTAACTTTTTTATTTGAAATAAAGCTTTGCTCATTGTCTTTAATGGGGTTTCAAAATTAGCTTGTTCGAAAATAACCGAGTTTAAAATTTTATGTTTTGAATTCTGAAGTTAGAAAATTAAATTGATGCATATGAATATAAAATTTGTAAGCTTTTTTTTTTTTTAAAAAAAAAAAAGAATTTAAAGATCGCTTAATTCAAAATAAATATATCACTTATTTTACTGAAATCGTATACCGAATCATTAATTTTGAAACTCCAATATTAAAGTTATAATAATTACCCAATATAAGATGAAGGTATTACTGATAAAAATAAATACATAACACTGATGGATTGATCAAGAATAAATAAAACATGAATATAGAATATTGCGAGGTTTTAGAATTAAGAAATACAGAAACCTGATTTTAATTAAAACTAATTTATTTTCAGATGACGAAGTGCCAATTTATTTCGTTTTTTGATAAATTACATTTGTTATTAAAAGATTTATTTTTCAAAATTAAACCTTTGAACAGAATTTTTTAATTCTGAAACATCTCGTCAAAAATTAGAAAAAGTGAATTTTAATTAAATTACGTCTAATTTATCTTACTCGTGGTTATAATTTAGATTTAAGTAAATTTCAGACAAGAGCTATACTGATTGTTTTGGATATTATAAGCTCTTGTACTGTATGTGTAAGTTTTTCAGTTAGTAAAATATGTTACACAGAGATCCGAGGTTCGAATTATGCATCCGATCTTGCACGTGGCTAATGATCGACAAAACCTGGCACAGATTTTGGGGGTGCTTCCAAGAGATGGAATGAATGATTCTACTAACGAAAATGGAAAAAAGCTTTGATTAATAAAAATTTATATTGCAAATTTAGTGAAATCCAGGTTTTTTTTAACACTATTACCCAAACTACATTTGATAAAATTTACTGGGTATTACCAAACTTTATTAGTCGCTTCGAAAATAAATCAATTTAAAATTTTATAATAAATTTCATTAAGAAAATCTTCATTTGCAATAGAATAATCCTAATGTCCCTGAAAATCAAAAATAAGATTGTATATGAAGATTTGGGTAAATTTTCCCTGTAAATCGATTGGCATAAAAAAAATTCGGGGACAAGATTGACCGAATTATTAATCAACAAAGATAATAGAATTTCAGATAAACAAAATAAACTAGATTATCTGAGCTTTTTTAATTGTATTTTTTTTCATTTACTGTATGGCGCGGTCTAAAAGACCCACCTATTATACCCCCTTACGATTTTCAGAGGCCTATAACATATTGTACGCGGGGTACTATACATAGATTTACAGAAAAAATGGTAGCATTTGGAATGTAAAATACTCCTACATGATGATAACGGGAACCCTTAATTCCGGTTAATTTTTTTCTGGATTTCGTTCTTCGGGATTATGTTTTCGAGATTTTGAACCAAACCCGATGATAACAACCGCTTATATATCTTGATATAATTAACAATTAATTTAATAAGACCACATGGCTACAACGCTCTTCATGTAGTGCAACTTATACTCCCCACGCTGACCACCAACTATAATACCCATATATATAATTTAAATTGTAAGTACCCTGAGTATTTTAGACTACGCTATACGGTAGTTAATGCTTATAATGATTTGCTTTTAGTTGTTCGTTGATGGTTTTGGTGATTATGCTAAGAGGCGTAATGATGATATATAAATGGGGTTCTTTTTTGAAGTAAAGTCAAGTGTCAGGTTTGCTTAAATTATGAGTATTGACAAAATATGTTTCATTATCACTTATTGGGATCTAGTATATATGTTTTCATTACATATTACATGTCGCTGATTAGTATTTAGCATACTCATCTTAACATAAAAATAAGCGTAGCATAGTAAGAAACGTTCTCAACCAACCATGATTCAAGATTTTGCTAACAATTTATACACGCCGACTCACATTCCTGGCATGCCAAATTATGACATATGGTTTTTTTTAATATTGTAATTACAATAAAGGTTTTTTTTTTTTTAACCCTTTCTATGAAGGGACGCCGGGAGGCGTACTTTACAATAAAGGTTAAATATCAATTCTTTACTTTTACAGCACATTTATATTACAATAGCACCTCACTAAGTGCAACCTCATTGAATACAGCCTTATTAATTGTAACATCCCTCTAATTGTAGCTTAAATGCATGTCGTCAAAAGTTTAGTCTTTACGAATTGTATTTAAGAGGTTTGACAGTATAACGTTTTTTTACGTTTAATATTATAACATCTAATCAGAATTAAGATCTCATTTCATGTGAGTTGTGTCACTAAATTCATATTTTTAACGTGGCGTAAACAAAATTTTTATTAATGTTAAGGTTAGCATTTAAAATAAGGTTAGAAATTAGATAGTCATATAGTAAAATCGTTTAATAAAAACTCTTTGTTAGTGCACTAAATGTGATTTTTATGCGGATTTTTGCAAAATAAGCGATTTTTAATAAAAATAACCATTACCCAATCGAAATCACACATCATTCTAGATGGCAGTTAACCATACGTTTCGTGATTTGTATCACTACCTTTCCTGATATTCTGTAATTGATTTTACAGTTATATTATGACACGTAGATCACACAATCCTAAATAATTTAAATAGAATATAATATATGCCATCGTAAAACTTTAATTCATGCGAATTCTCATATGTATGTGTAAGTTCATTTCGATAATTTAAACAAAATTGTCGAAATAATGATAACTAATCTTCCTCTTATAGAAAAGTCTCCATTAAATACGCAGAATTACGTATTTGTATTTGTCGATCTCCAGTGTAATTTCCATAAACGAGATTTTATCCAATAAGGTCGCTGGTGCTGTATGTGACTATGAAAGATGCATCTGTAAAAAAAATAATAATAATAAAATTAGTTAGCAAATATTCATATATATATATGGTTGCATAAACGTAATACGTACATAGTGAGAATTACTCTTTAGCTTATCAATTTTGTAAGCTTTATTAAATTAAGATACGGTTTTACGCCTACATAACTCTAATGCCTACATACAAAAAATATATTTGTTATCTGACACGCTATTTACTAATTTAAGACACGAGTTCTTAGAAATGTTCTCCCATTCTTCTCAATTAACTTATACAAATGTTTAACACTAATCTTTTTTTTCTAATTATTCATTAATGTTTCTTCACCTTTTTTCATAATATTTCCCTGGTTTTCTGTTGGGTTGAGTTCGGAACTATACGATGGCCGTTCAAGAAGCTTTGGAACATGGTGACGAATAAACTATTTACTGTGTATTTCTTTTTAAAGTTTTTAGTACTACGATTTAAGGGTTGTGTTGCATTCAACTCACATTACGCTTTACGAGAACTGTAACTTCATGGGAAAAAATTTTAAAATATCCAAATAATGCTATGTGTTCTGTGCTAATATAAGCTTAAATATATGAATTATTCATTTTGTTCCGGTTCATGTGATTTTATTGTATGACAGTTAAGTAAATATGGCAAAATATATTTAAAAGTTTAAATTCAGTGTCTTCATTTAAATTAATATATATGTTGTAGGTGAGAACGGAATTTAAGTGGATTCAGAATTTCTTAATAAAATTATAAATTTGGATAGAATTTACTCTATATAAACCTATATCCTAACCCTAAAATTCAAAATCCACTTAAATTCCATTTATAAATCAATGGCCTCAAAAATTCTTTTAATATTTTTAAACTTATTGATTTGCTTTTTTAAAGTTGGTTTTGCCGCTAATGGCGACAGTGAAACATGTGTAGGAAATTTAACAAGACGTAACATACCGCATACAGATTCATTGGGTAAGTTTTTAATTAATGTGTATATGATAAAATTTTTCAGCACTAAAGCATTAATTTACTATATATATATCTATCTATATTTATAATTTTAATTATTAATTGAAATTTTCTGCTGTAATAAAGGATGTTATATTTTTAATGGCACCAATTCCGATGGTTTTGATGGTCTTGCAAACATAGGGCTTTCCGATCCATTCAAAGATAGAGATGGTACTCTTATGGATCCTGGATTATGTATATACCACTGTGCAAATTACGGATTTATCTTTTCAGGTCTGACAAAAGGTGGTCAATGCCGCTGCGGAGGATCTACTGCCCTTGTAACATATACCAAATTAAATGATACTTCAAGTAAAATAGTGTGCAACTTACCATGTGTCGGAAATTCAAGCTATACTTGTGGTGGTGACAACGGATACACAATTTATCGAGAAACAATTCCAATGCAACTAAAAATAAGCGCATTACAAAAAGTCTTTATTATTCAAAACCTCAAATATAATAAGCAATATAATGGTTGTTTTAAAGAATCTCCTTACTGTAACCAAAGAATGTTAAAGGGATCAAAAAAAGAAGTCATCAGCTTAAGCGTTGGGGATTGCGTGAATTTTTGTAAAAATAATAATTATAGTTACGCTGGATTAGAAATTGGTACTGTATACACATGAAAATTCTAAATGTATGCTAGGTTTATGGTACAGATTTCTTGAATTTTGAATCAGATTTCAAGATTAGTATAATGCAATACGATTTGAAAATTTCAAACACGCTTCCGTTTTGTCAAAAAGTTGCTTATATTTTAAAAATATGTACAAGAAACTTTTCATTGTCCATATACTTAGTTTTAAAGAATTCTGTCTGCTCCACAAACCTCACATTTCAGATATGCTTTGAGCAATGTTGTATAACATCATTATAACGAATTTTTAAATTTTTGTTTGGCCAGGTACTCAATGTTTTTGCGATAATAGTTTCAACAGCTTCAGTATGCTTAAACCTGAAGAATGTAGCTCTAGTTGTACAGGAAATGAATCAGAGATATGTGGTGGTCCACTTGCGTTGTCAATTTATAGTGTGCCTCCTCCTGATAATAGCGATAGTATTAGTAAGTGAAATTCTTTGTCACAATTCTATAAAATAATTTGTGTAAAGTGTAATAATTAATCAAAATCGTGTTATTAAATCAATTAATGGCAATAGAAATTGGACTTGGCGTTGGGATTCCTCTATTTATAATAATAACTGCCGCGATATGTGGTTGTTACATCTATAAGAGGAGATTTAAGAATCAAACCCAAGCCGAAACGATTCAAAAAAATACTGATGAAAAGTTATATTAATCATCTACATATTTATTTACCAAATTTTTTGTGATGTGATGCTAATGAATTAACTAACATTAGCATTTTACGAATAATAATTGTATTAGCAGACTTTTTTCAAATAATTTAACTTATATAAAAATATATTGCCTTAATGTGACTCAAAATCTAGTGAGACAGATCAAAATGTTTGTTTTCTCGTTCTATTTTTCTTTTTACATTCTTAATTTTTTTTATCTTAGTGTAGGATATATGTTTTGTCATTATTATAATATTTTATATACATAATAAAGGAGAAATTTTTTATTTTGTAAAGTTAATTGAATGTGATTATTTTGGTAATAAAATCATCCAAAGCAGACCATTCCATTTGAGTAAAAGTTATACATTGTTTAAATTATGTGTATTTTATGTGTATTTTATTAGTGATTCAGTAAATCCGCCTGTATGAGGAACGTAGATTTTGTAAGTCTATCACTAAAACACACTAATTTTCATATTTTAAATGCATTAGTACATTAGTACATAGGATATTATAGCTACAAGTCACTCTTTAATACATTGTGGTTAACTGATTCGAAAGTTGATCTGAATTAGTAAAATACCTTTTCAAGAAAGCCTTATAAATTAAAAAAATTTTAACTACATGACAATTCAGTCCATTAATTTAGATTATTAACAAAAAAAAATCCCTGCTCGACCAAAATTTCGAATGCCAGATAACGCAAAAAACGAAAAGTCAACTTTGTGTGGTCTTATCACTGTTACGCAATTCTTGAATGTGTGCCAGGTTTGTGGCGCAGATTGTCTGAGCTACGAATCAGATTTCTAGATCAGGTACGTACAACGCAAGTAGGTTTTCTGTGCCAGGTTTTGTCGATCATGTGGCGCAGGCAAAATCTTTTAAAGTTTATTACTGTTAGGGTTAGCGTTTAAAAATCACTTATTTCTCAAAAACTTGCATAAAAAACCACCTTCGGTGCTTTAACAAAAAATATTCCTGTAATTTCCTGATCGCGTTATGTTGCACCTGATCCTTGAAATCTGATTTGTGGATCAGGAGATCTGCGCCACAATGATCGACAAAACTGGCACAAAAAACCGATTTGCAACACGAACAGGAATATTCAAAACGAACGGCTGTTTTGTAAAAATCGCTTATTTCTTGAAAAATTGCATATGAAACTATCCTTTGAGAACTAATAAAAAAGTTTCTCTGAGTAATTTTCTATATACGTTCTTAATCATAATAACCATAAAATAAACCAGCTTAAAAGAATTTTGACTGCACCACAAACCTGGCACACATTCAAGAATTGCCGCTGGGACGAAAAATGACGTAACAAGTTTACGTTATACTTTTTCTCGGTATAGCGTTATAATAGCTTAGCTTGTAATTAAGTAATGATCGAAGTAATTAATTTATTATCCTTTGTCTATTATAAATGAATGCCTTGTATTCATCTTTTTCAATTCCTATTCCATGTTGATAATGGAATCCAAGGTTATAAGTTAAGGGTCTAAATTAGTTGATTTGTTATGATTAAACAGTTTATTATAAATTACTTCATTTTGTTTTCGAATATGAGAAAAAAACAAGCAAAAAAATCTGGACTCCATTTTTAAGTGCAACTGTAATATTTTACAGAATTTAGTAACACTATCGCTATTCAGTAATA